TGCTCAATGCTGCGTCCATGTTTGGACAACTTCTGTAAACACAGAGACGCTCGCTGAGGTTGACGTCGTCGTGTCTCCAGTGTCACATGTGGGACACTTTCACGCCGTTTAATGTTCACACTGGAGTCACATACAAGTCACATTTAATTGGAAATGTGAACGACCTCACAAAAACATCGGATTTCATGAAAAAAATCTGAATTGAGCGTTAAGCCCTGCAGTCTGAACAGAGCCTTAGTGTTTGATTTGATTGTTCTACAGACCGAATGTTTTACTTTATGACATCAGACTGAATATAATGTACGTGTAATGAGTTAAACACTGACCAAATAAAAACACATGTCCCTGGACGTTCCACAGTCACATAATGGTCTTGGAGTAAAACTCAAATCCATCACGAAGTCCTTGTGTGTGTGTGTGTGTGTGTGTGTGTTGTGTGCTCAAACAGGACGAGACACAAGGACACAGCTTTAGCTCTGTCTCAGGGACAAACAGCAGCTGCTCGGAGACGTCGTGTGGAGGAGAGAGACATGTTTGTTATACAAGAGTCCACACGGGGACGAGAGGACACGGGGACAGAGACATGTTTAAAGGACTCATGTTACTCTATGTTCTGAGCTCTGTTCTAATGTCGTTTCCTCATCACAAATAGACCTGCAGTTGTGTTTTGTTTCATTCACACATGTTTAACACACAAACGCTGCAGATTTAGGCTGATTTAGACTCTATTCCACCTTATGATGTCATGTAGTGATACAGGAAGTGCTCCAATGTGTTGTTAAACTCATACAACTTCACTTTCCTTTGGATTATTTCAGTCCTGGAATTGCCGATCTCTCAAAAAAAATCTCAAAAGGTAAAAGGGATCTGTAACAAACGGCCTCTTTGTTACATAGTAATCACCAGTGTTGGGAAGGTGACTTTTAAAATGTATTCCCCTACAGATTACAGATTACATACCCCAAAATGTAGTTTGTAACAGAATCCATTAAGTTACTTAAGGTGAGTAAAGTAGGGTAAGGGACTCCTGTCTCCTGTACAGTACAGAATGTGTTCAGCTGCCAAATTTAAATAAATGTTGGATCTGTATCAGTGTGATTCTGAAGTGTTGTATGTTTGTAAGTTTTCTCCTCGACAAAACCCACAATGTTGATGAAACATTCTGCACCGACAAAGACTCCTGCGCTCACACTCAAAAGACAGAGGAAGATGTAACCATCACACAAAAAGTTGGACTTCTGGACACGCTGAAGAAGGTAGAAGTTACGCGCTGTAGCAGAGTTTTGCACCGGGTCGGGTCCCTGCGAATAGTTGCTGAAATCAGAGCGTGAGCCCCCGCAGCAGAGTGTCCGTAAAGTGCGATCAGGCGACAGCCGCTCTTACCTCCGTGAGGTGCAGAGCAGAGCCGCTCCTTTCTCCTGCGGTCACCTTCGAGCCCGTCCTGACAGTGAGTCCTGTTTTAGTCCTAGTTCAGTTCTGGTTTAGTCTTGGTTTAGTCCTGGTTCAGTCCTGGTTTAGTCCATATACGGTGCAAAAGTTCAGCATCTTCGCAGTTATTTTGGTGAGAGTAACTTAAGTAGTAGGGTTTTATTTTTTGTATTTGGGTTTTATATGGTTTATTTGGTTATGAGTATTTTAGTGGAGGATTTTTAACTTAGTTTTATACAGCTAAGGTTATTTTACATCCCTTGGAGTTTTAATGGTTTTATCCAGTGGTATATAAGGCGCCTGATTGTATCATTCTATGTTCTGCTGCTGGAGACACCTGCTGCTCCCTATCCTCCCTGCACCTTTTTTTGTTTTGCATCGCACTTTTTTTGCACTGGCACTTTTTGAAAATTGTAAAAAAAGAAATTAAAAATTGTGAACCACGCCAAACCTGCCTCAATCCAGCTGCTCTACCCGTCTTGGTCACAGCATCTCTATTAACCTTAAAACTACTATTTCATGACATCACAAGGTGGAACAGAGTGTTCTGAGCTTTGGAGATGTAGACAGACTCATAATAAAGAGTTACTCAAAGTCAAATGTGAATGAAACAAACACAACTCCAGCTCTGTTTCTGAGGAGGCAACGATATTCCAACTTCTAACATTGTGAAGAAATTGGAGCATACTTCTGCTTGGGTAATATTTTTACTGAAGTAATAGTAATGTTACTTGAGTAAAAGTTGTGTTTCCTCTTCCCTCTGTGAGTGACAATGTGACAATATGAACTGAGTTGAACATTTGTGTTTCTTGCAGCTCCTTCACGATTTAGTTTGTCTCATTTTTGCATCTGTTCTTTGAAAATATCTGATTTTGTGACTTATCTAATGTTTTGTTCTTCAAATGACATTCACTTAAAAATGATAAATCAGATGTTATGTCCGACAGTTCGACTCTTTAAGTTACTCTTACTTGAGTACTACATTTCCCTAATACTTTTTTATTTTTACTCTGAACCTCTACTTTGTACTTCTACTTGAGAAATGTTGAAGGTTTGTAGTAGTGTTACTGTTACTTGAGTACAGTTTTGGATACTCAGGGACAGTGTGATGTCGTCCTCCATGAGTGAAAGACGAGTTTGATCTTTGTTCTGAACACAGTTTATACATGAGAAGTGTTGAGTATCACACCTTCTGTATGAGACAACTGCTCCACAACTGAGCCACTGTCCCTCTGACGTTTTAATACTTTATACCAGGGGTGTCAAACATACGGCCCGGGGGCCAGATCCGGCCCTTCAAGACCTTTAATCTGGCCCTCGGCTGATGTTCTACTAAAATATTTTAATTATATTTTCTATTAAAATCTTGTTAATTTTCTGTGGTGTTTATCACAGCAGCATCTCCAGCGTACGTGGCCCCTCCCACCAGAGCAGCACAAATGAAGACTTGTCTCTTTCCAAACGCTCTTAAAGGACGATCGTTTTGACTGTTGACCGTGACACCCTCATCAGAAAAATGTCCAACATGAGAAAAGTGGAGCCGAGTGCAGGATTTTACAAGAAAAATTGACTTATTCCTATTTACATACAAGTTCATGTTAAAAAATCTTTGTTGAAATTGTATTTTTCTTCAAGTTTCAGGTTGTTCATAATATTATAATATTTTGTAAAAGAAAGAGTTCATCAATTAAAAAAGATTTCTGTAATAGATTTGTGTTTCTCTTCACAAATATTTGAACTTATTGTTATTTTTGGGGTTTATATGACATGAGTTTTCTGATCCGGCCCCTTTGGGATCAAAGTCGGTTGGACACGGCCCCTGGACCAAAATGAGTTTGACACTCCTGGTTTATACATTTTACAAACTTACAGAAGATTTCAAATATGAAGAAAGATATTTATGGAGGGTAGCGCTGCAAATCCTTGTCCTTCTCTCAGTGAGCTTCATGATGAAGTCCCTGAAATGGTTTTCACCTCACATCTGTGTCAGGAAAAGGGTAAAGGATATTTTTATTCTATCAGTTATTAATATAAGAGTGATTCTGAGTTTATTTTTTGTTTGCTATTTTCCAAATGTGTCATTCATAGTTTTTATGTCAAAGTGTCTCTACACTTTTGACAGCTCGTGTATATTTTACATCTATCCTCTCCATTATCCTTCACCTCTTTCTTCTCACCGCTGCAGAAAGTGCCGCCACAGTAACTCATGAGGTTATATTTGTCTGTGCTGAGTCATCATCTCCACAATATACTTTCAACACTGTGGACTTCTGGGAATTGTATATATTCCAGTTATTTTAGGAAATTCAATCATGGCCGTGCCATCCTCCAACCGTGAAGGACCAGAGGAGGACAGAGGACAAGGACAAGGACAGAGGCTGGACACGAGGTCTCACTCTGTGTGAGGGACTGGACAGGACGTGTCACTCTGGTATGAAGCAGGTATTGGACCCTCCTAGTGCCTCAGTGTAAAGCCCCAGCTCTGCCCCGTCCTCTGACAAACAGATCAGGCTCCACACGTTCGAATGCTCCACACAGGACAGAGAACATGAACTACACCCAGGGTTAAAGAGAACACACCACACACTGACTGGAGCACAGGGTGAAGCTCAACACTGATTCCAGTTCATCTTTTGCATAGACTTTCCTGGAAAAAAAATAATAAATAATACTAATCAAAAGGCGAGGAGAAAATTCAGTTTGTTGACTGGACAAAACTGAAGAAGCAGCTTGGATGAGCTGAGAAACGTCTTCAACCAAACTAACTTTTGTCCAGTCAACAAACTGAATTTTCTCCTCGCTGTGGATTCCACCTGGACGACTGAGGGATTCTTCACACAAAAATAAAATAAATCAAGTTTAAAAGTTCAGGGTTCATCAGCTCTGTGGTGACTTATGACCTCAAGGCCTGTCATCTGTCATTTGATTTCAAATCTGTTTGTGAGACTTTCTGAAGTACTGAGTTCTTCAAACATCAGCTCCACATTTATATTAGATCATTTTACTGTTGTTGCTGTAATAGTTGGGTAATAGTTCACTTCACGTTATGTCACTGAAACTCCACCATGTGAAAACTTATTGGACTCTGTTGCCTCAAAGGGACAGTTTTTTTTAAAAGTACTACAGTCACTTCACCTGCAGATTATCATTACCATTTATATTTTTACTCTTTGTTATTATATTATATTGTAATGTGTGAATAAATCAGGATTAGAATCATCACCAGTAAAAGTTTTATTTGATTTAAATATATTGACTTTGTATCTGGGCAGACACAGTTTATGAAAATGTAAATCTTACATGTGGTTCCTTTAAATGAGACTTTTTTTACACCAACTTGTTCCTGTGAGGAGACAAAAGTCCTGTAGTGGAGTCAGCCCTTATGTTTCCCTGTTTATATGAAGAGTTAAACTGCAAAAAAATAAACTGCCTGAACTGTCTCTGCGTTTTGGATGCAGTTGTGTGTTGGTGATACTCTGTAGGTGGAGAGAATCTGTTTTAGAACTCAGCTCCTTCCTGGATTTTTTTGTATTTCTTCTCAACCTTTTTCCACAAACACACACTACACACACTTAACTGATGCAAAACTGTAATCATTTAATGCCATACTGTGGAAGATTACAGCCCAAGGACTGACATTTCCATGGTAACAAGCATAAGAGACAAGTTTGTGGAGATACAAACTCGCTCATAGTAATAAAGGTTTTCAGTGCAATGAAAATAATCAAAATGTACCACAATATTTTACCACATCAAAACCATCCTCAGAGTTGTGTTTTGTTTCATTCCCACATGTTTGAGTATTTTTACAAGTCCAAAACTCTAAATGCTCTGCTCCACCTTGTGATGCAGGAGTTTCCAAGTCACCAGCTCCTTTTACCTTTAGTTCAGACGAGATTGGCCGTTCCAGGACTGATCCAGATGATTCGACTGAAGGTCTGTGGAGAGTCTGTGTGTCATTCATTCGTAAGAAAACAAAAAAACAGCTATGTTCTTCATGATTTGTCTCCAAAACCAAAATGAAAAGATGGATCAATTTGTTTTTTTTTTTAGTTTTCAATTTTGTGTTTAAATGAATAGAGGAAAAAATGGATAATGACCGTTTCCCATTTACATGACTTAAACTGAGATGCCGGACTGAACCAGGACTAAAACAGGATTAAAACAGGTCTATACCAGGACTAAACCAGGACTAATCCAAAACTAAACCAAGACTAAACCAGGTCTAAACAAGGACTGGACCAGGGCTAAACCAGGTCTAAACCAAGACTAAACCAATACTAAACCAGGACTGAAGCAGGTCTGAACTGGTCTCAGACCTGGTCTGGTCCCGGTCTCAGTCCTGATCACCCGGCAGTCTATGCGGGCGCACCTCTGAGCCCGTCCCGACACTCAGTACTGGTTCAGTACTGGTTCAGTTCTGGTTCAGTCCTGGTTCAGTCCGTATACAGTGCAAAAGTCCGGCTTTGCACTTTAAGTCACAGAAATGAGAAACAGTCGTTATCTGCATTTTCATTTTGGTTTTGGAAACAAATAATGAATTAATGATTTCAGTATTTCTCCAAAATCTCAATTGCTAATGGTGTGTGTGTGTGTATATATATATATATATATATATATATATATATATATATATATATACAGTCCCTGACAAAAGTCTTGTCGCTTATCCATTTTGTAGAAACAAAAGCTTATAACTTGACTTTAAATTAATCGATTGGTTTTAGAAATGTCTCATATGAAGCTAAAACCCTCCCAAATTATGCTCAATAAACTAAAATAAATTTGCTTCACTGAAAAAAGATTGATCATTTAATGAACACCATTCTACAACAACATTCAACAACATTCAAGTTCATACCACAGATGGGGAAAAAAACAAAAAAACAATGGAAACATGAAATAACAGTGTAAATCAAACCTAACAAAGGAAACAGAATGATAGAAACATAGGTGTGTAAGGATATTCAAGTCTCATGAGACGGTATTGTCCCAGTATGAACCTCACGGTCCAATATTGTGATGGTGGGAGGCTCGCGATTAGAGATGTAGCAATATATTTTATGGAGGCTAATATGAGACTTTTTCCTTTTAAAATGCCATGACAAGACTTAATCCAGAGACTTAAAAGTGTTCGAACTGTTATTTCTTCTTGTAGTCTACACTGAAATGGAGCAAAGGATCATGGTCTATGTAGTTCCCTCTGTCTTTTTTTAGCTGCTGTTGCACCATAACTCTTCATTCAAGCAAAGACACTTGTAATTCGATATATTGTGATGGTCCACGATGTTATTGTAAGAACTTTGATGATACGATATTATGATATTTCTGTTATTGTTACATTCCTAATACATAAGCAACTTCATTTGGCTGTTTTTGTTGTCAAACCAATCATTGCAATAACACGAGGAACTGTTCAGGACTTTTACTTGTGTCCAGTTTTATGGAGGAGTTCAGGTCTGTGCACAAATGAACACACGTCCTCTATGTTCAGTCCTCTCAGTGTTCAGCTGTTGCACAGATTTAATTCTTCGATGTTTGAGTCTCAGGTTTTGTGTTTGCAGCTGTTCTTGTCGTAGTCGAGGCTGTAGTCGACCACTGATGAGATTCATTTTTATGTGTGATGAAAACACTGTTCTGCGTTTTACCAGATGTTTTACAGAACATGTTTATTCAAATATTCGGCTAAATGAAAATGTTTTCTGCGACAAAACGATGGCAGGTGTTTTTTTTGCTGAACAGGACGGGTTCTCAAATGTGACAAATCCTGAAATCCAATGTGGCAGCGCTGGTTCAGGTGAGCCACTGCTGGATACAGCTGCTGAACACTGAGTAGTTTTGGTGCCAGTGAACGTGACCCACTCCAGACTGAACACACACAGACACGTCCCCACGAGTGTCCAACGTCTTCAGCCCAAACACGTCACTGCGGTAATACTGCAACACACACACACAGGTGAAGTGTCCCTGTCCAGACACACACTCACACACACACAGACACACACACACACAGGTGAAGAGTCCCTGTCCAGAGACACACACACACAGACACACACACACAGACACACAGGTGAAGAGTCCCTGTCCAGACACACACTCACACACACACAGACACACACAGACACACAGGTGAAGAGTCCCTGTCCAGACACACACAGACACACACACACACACACACACAGACACAGACACACAGACACACACACAGACACACACACACACACACACACACAGGTGAAGTGTCCCTGTCCACACACACACACACTCACACACACACCCCGATGAAGTGTCCCTGTCCACACACACACGCACACAAATACACACACATACGCACATACACACAAATGCGCACACACATACAAAGTAATGCACACACATACAAAGTAATGCACACACATACACATGCACACACACACACACACACGCACTCACATACAAACTAATGTACACACGCACACACATACACATGCACACACACACACACGCACTCACATACCAACTAATGTACACACGCACACACATACACATGCACACACACACGCACACACACACACATACAAACTAATGTACACACGCACACACACACACACACAAAATGCCCACACACATACACACACATGCACACACACACACTTACCTCTCGGTTCCTCATTGTGGACACATTTTCATTAATGTTGTAGAAACCAAACTGACTGAGAATGTAAAGAAAAAGGAAGAGAAGGAGGAAACAGAGAGAGAAAGTAGAAGTTAGTGTTTATGAATTTATTTATAATCCAACATTTATTCATAAGAGGAACTTCTGAACATTTGTTGTTGAATGTTTGTTGTGTTACGGAAACTCTCTACCGTGTTATAAATATCCATCATCAAAAACATGAGCAGGTTTTAGATCATCCATGCATGTTTGAGTCATTTAGTGATCTCTCCCAGGCCCTATCCAAACCCTTCTTAGTCTTCGTTGTTATCTGAGGGAGATCAGAGGAACCGTTGGGCTTTATCTTGCACTTATTCGAGAACACAAGATTTTATTGTTCAAAAAAGACATGCATTTTGATTGTAAGTGAATTTGGAACCTTAACAAAGTAAAAAGTAGTAGTAGCCGAGTGTACTGAAGTATAACGTTTAGGTATCTCCTCTTTACTTTTACTTTTACTTCACTGCATCTGACAGCATGTATCTGCACTTTCTACTCCAGTACATTTTTAAACTGGTACTTTAACTGGAGTGTTTCTTGCTCTTGTATCTGTACTTTTACTCAAATAACCAAATGGAGTAGTTGCTGCAGACTGGTGTGTGTGTGTGTGTGCGTGTGCGTGTGCGTGTGTGTGTGTGTGTAGGTATGTGTGTGTGTGTGTGTGTACTGCTGCTGGAGTGTTCAGGGGAGGACAGACCTGGACTGCCACGGAGTGATGACCCCATCATCTGGACCCCCGACCAGAACCAGCTTCTTTATCTTCATGAAGTTCTCCCTCCAGACTGTCCAAAACACACACTGCTTTAGTCCTGGTTTTAGTCCTGGTTTTAGTCCTGTTTAGTCCTGTTTAGTCCTAGTTTAGTCCTGGTTTAGCCCTGGTTTAGACCTGGTTTAGACCTGCTTTAGTCCTAGTTTAGGTCTGTTTTTGTCCTGGTGTTAGTCCTGTTTAGTCTTGTTTTAGTCCTGGTTTAGTTCTAGTTTAGTCTGGTTTAGGTCTAGTTTTTTTGTCCTGGTTTAGTTATGGTTTTCTCTTGATTTAGCCCTGGTTTACTCCTAGTTTAGTCCTGGTTTTTGTCCTGGTTTAGTCCTAGTTTAGCAGTGGTTTACTTCTGATTTACTCTTGGTTTAAATTTTGTTTAGTCCTGGTTTAGGTCTGTTTTTGTCCTAGTTTAGTCCTGGTTTTAGTCCTGGTTTAATCCTAGTTTAGTCCTGGTTTAGCCCTGGTTTAGACCTGGTTTAGTCCTAGTTTAGGTCTGTTTTTGTCCTGGTGTAGTCCTGGCTTAGTCCTGGTTTAGTCTTGTTTTAGTCCTGGTTTAGTCCTGTTTTAGACCTGCTTTAGTCCTGGTTTTAGTCCTGTTTTAGTCCTAGTTTAGCGCTGGTTTAGTTCTGGTTTACTCTTGGTTTAGACTTTGTTTAGTCCTGGTTTAGGTCTATTTTTGTCCTGGTTTAGTTCTGGTTTAGTCTTAGTTTAGTCCTAGTTTTAGTCCTGGTTTAGTTCTGGTTTTCTCTTGATTTAGCCCTGGTTTACTCCTAGTTTAGTCCTGGTTTAGTCCTAGTTTAGTCCTAGTTTAGTTCTGGTTTAGCCCTGGTTTAGACCTGGTTTAGTCCTAGTTTAGATCTGTTTTTGTCCTGGTTTAGTCCTGGTTTAGTAGTCCTGGTTTAGTCCTGTTTTATTCCTCTTTTAATCCTGGTTTAGTCCTGGTTTAGTCCTTGGTTTAGTCTTGGTTTAGTCCTGGTTTAGTCCTGGTTTAGTCCTGGTTTAGTCCTGGTTTAGTACCGTTTGTATAGTTATGTTGTATCTCTCCGTTGATCCTTGGCAGGAAGTTGTTATATTTCAGGTATTTGTTTCTGTGATGGGGATCTGGAAAAATCCAAGAAATATGATGAAACCTGGATCCATCAGTGCAAGAAAATGTACATGATGATTCAAAGTAACAATGATCGTGTTAGTGATGCTGAGCTCCAGTGTAACAAAGGTCAGAAAAGAGCGTAAATGAGTGTGTTGTGGTCTGACCGTTCCAGTACTGACAGATGGAGAGCTCCTGGCCCAGTCTGCTGTAACACACTTTGTAGATTCTTTTTTTCAGGTATTTGGGGAAAATCTTCTTTAAATAATCTGTGTCTGCAAAACAAAATGAAATCAACACACCTGAATGAGCTCAGAAGGAGAAATCAGTCAACATGTACAACTGACTCAGACAATCAAGTTCTGTGTCACACTTACGTACTCTTACCGTGGTTGTCATGGTTGTGTTTAGCTGCTCTTGTGGCTGACTGGCTGCCACACTGAGCATAAATGTTTTAAGTGTGTTTTAAGCTTAATTTTTTTTATTTTAAACATTTGACGATCATGACTTTTTCTAACTGATTTTCTGCACCAAATATGACAGAAGATGTTCAAGAGGTAATGCCCCGCCTCCTCGTGCTTTCCTGTGTCTGCAGACTTCACCTGGCGCCCCCTGCAGGCTGCTCTGATGCCTGAGCTTCAGGACACAGAGGAGGACTCAGGACTTTTGGCCTGAGGACTCTTACTCTCCTCACTCTGCTTTGACAAAGAGGGCCTTTGTCTCCATTTTTTTCACTTTATTTCATTTACATCTATCAACTAAACAGTTAATGAGACTGTCCCGGGTTTGTTTTATTTTAGTCTTTGTTTAGTTAAATTGATCACCATTCACACAGTTACTTTAAATTCATTTTATTTGGTTATATCTATTAATTTGCTTAACTTACCACCTTTACCTGTGACTCCACATGGTCTGGAGACAAAAGAGGGGGCGTGTCTTTCAGCAGCCATATTTATAGGCTCAGGGGGAGGTGTTGGCCCAGATCATGTGGAGGGAAGCCTCAGATTCGGTTCTTTTTGTTTAATCAAATTGGTTTGTAGGATTTTGGTTTCAGTGGTTCTAGTTTATTTGGGACACTGTTTAGTTTAAAGGGGGATTTAGGCCTTACATAAGAATCATATGTAGCACACCAGGAAAACAGGGAAGTTACAATAATCTAACCTGTGAGTTGGTGCAAACCCAGGGGGAGGGACTTCCTCTCTGGGCGTTATAAAAGTGGAAGCCATGTAATCAGTGGGGGGATCACCATCAGTGCAGCCAGGTGTCTGTGGGTTATTTTCTTTTGTTGCGTTACTTTCTGTTGCTTTTGTTTTAGTTAAGCACAGTTTGGTGAAGGTACATTTTTTTTCACTTGACTCTTACTTCGACCACTTGGGCCAGCTTCCCCACACACTGCACAGCAAAAACTGGAGGGTTAAAATTTAAGGGAAAATATTTCAGTTGTTTTTAACACAAAAAGTGTTGTTTTAACTATTTGGAAGTTAAATGGGGGATGGAGTTGGGATTATTTGTCAGAGTTGATATGGTTGAAGTTAATTCAACTTCCCTTAATGTTAATTTGGCTTTTCCCAAATGAAACAGAAAATGCACATGTTTCAAGTTCATGTGGAGGCGCAAATGCAAAGAACAGGAACCAAAAGTGAAAAAAAATTCACAGCACTCAGATGGCCAATGTCTAAAAGCTTTTTTTCAGTGGTCCAAAGCAAAAAATATATACATTTTTATTTATTTATTATTATTATTATTATTATTATTATTATTATTATTATTTATTTTATTTTATTTTTTTCAGAAACATCATTTAAAAAAATTAAAAAGCTTTTGGACATCGGCCATCTGAGTGTGCTGTGCATTTTTTTTGCTTTCATTTGGCTCCTCCCACCCACCACTTCAAATTCTCCTGAGAGAAGACCAGTTTGAACCACTTTTCTACATAATTTCACCTTTAATAAACTCAAATAAAGTGTAAAAATCAAACACCTCCGTGTGTTGTTTCACTAAATCAGGACAACACGAATAAAACAATAAAAGTGTTATCCGTTTACTCTCAAAACGTTAATATAACTCTTGATTTCGGGGTTAAACAGGAACTTTGGAACTATTTCCAGTGTTACTGAACATTCCCAAAAATGTTAAATTAACTCTAGAGTAGATTGGACTCATAAACCCTGAGAAAATGTTAAAATTGATTCTGTGTGAGTCAATTTTAACACTCCACTTTTGCTGAGTGGATGTGAAGACTCCTCAGGGACAGATGGAGTGACATGGACTGATTGACTAATTGGTAATCAAACAGGTAAATGCACTGTACTGTATTTTTTACATGGAGGGATATCAGTCTGGTCCCCACTCCCTGTCACGCCTCGAGTCTGACCAAAGAAGGAGCTCACTGGTCACCATAATTTACAAACAAAAAGACATTTCTCTCCTCAGATGAACAGAGTTTAGAGCTTCGTTGATTCTGCAGAGATCCTGCTTCTGTGTGATCAGACTGACCTCCGTACTGTCCAGCCAGAGGAGCCGACAGAGAGATGAACGAGTGGACGTTATGACTGGGCATCACAGACAGCAGCGCTCTGCAGATCACCCCACCTACAACAGGAGAGACACGACAGACACGAGGCACTTAAGACCTGGGTTAGACCTGGTTAGACCTGGTTTAAACCTGGGTTAGACCTGGGTTAGACCTGGTTAGACCTGGTTTAGACCTGGGTTAGACCTGGGTTAGACCTGGGTTAGACCTGGTTTAGAACCTGGGTTAGACCTGGGTTAGACCTGGGTTAGACCTGGTTAGACCTGGTTTAGACCTGGTTAGACCTGGTTAGACCTGGGTTAGACCTCTGGTTTAGACCTGGTTTAGACCTGGTTAGACCTGGGTTAGACCTGGTTAGACCTGGTTAGACCTGGTTTAGACCTGGTTTAGACCTGGGTTAGACCTGGTTAGACCTGGTTAGACCTGGTTAGACCTGGTTTAGACCTGGTTAGACCTGGTTAGACCTGGTTAGACCTGGTTAGACCTGGTTAGACCTGGTTAGACCTGGTTAGACCTGGGTTAGAGTATATTTGTGAAGCAGATGTTGTTTCAGTGTGTGCGGGACGACAAGGTTCAGCTCCAAAGCAGAAGTCGACTCAAACCAAACCTGAGAATGTCGCCTCTGTTCTCACTTCTGTTTTCTGTGAGACAAACGCACCACCCAGGTTCAAACCAGGTTTATTTATGTTCCTGTTTTTGGTCAGCTGGTTTGATCCTAGTTCAGTCTTGGTTTAGTTCTGGTTTGTACCTTGAGAGAAGCAGAGCAGATGGGCCCCCTCTTCGGCCTGCTTCAGTAAGGGTTCCAGTTTCGATCTGAAGACTTTGACTTGAGTCCACAAAGGCCAAACACTGAGGACATCAGGGTACAGGTCTGGAATGGTGACCTGTGTGCCGGGGTGGACCTGACCGTAAACACACAACAGGGTTTCATAGTGTCAAGAACACACTGCTGTTACACAGTTAGAACACTTGTGTGAGGGATCTGATCTTCCTGGTTTCTCTGTGGACTTGACCTCAGACTCTGGAGACTGTTTCTATCAATATAAGGAAAAGAAATGTGATTCTTTTCTGTTGCTCATTCTGATGATTTAAATGTACCATCAAGAGTCGTAAGACCTTACTCAAACTATCAATGTGATGATACAGTGTGTACAGTGTGTGACTTCTCGCCAATGTGCATATTGATACGAGCTGCTGTATGAACAGTGTTGGGAAGGTTCCTTTTAAAATGTATTCCCCTACTGATTACAGATTACATACCCCAAAATGTAGTCTGTAATGTAATCCTTTAAGTTACTTAAAGTGAGTAATGTAATCTGAATACTTTGGATTACTTGATTTGCTGTAGAGAAGCAAAGACCAGACTTTATTTAACCAGATTAAAAATAGTATTGATGGAAAAGGAGGAGACATGGTCCACACAGTGTGATTTAGTCCTGTTAAATCCTGTTTTAGTCCTGGTTTAGACCTGGTTTAGATCTAGTTTAGACCTGTTTTAGTTTCCGGCAATGAGTGGAATTACCGAAAAAAAAAGAAAAAAAAAAAAAAAAAAAAAGGGGGGGATTTAGCCCAAAATGTGAAAACAGGAAAATACTGCTGTGTAATCCATTTATTTCAACAAAGTAACTGTAATCTAATTACCACTCACTGAAACAGTAACTGTAACTGAATACAGTTACTCATAATTTGTACTCTGATTACGTAACTCCGGTACATGTAATCTGTTACTCCCCAACACTGTGTATAGTGTTTTTGAATAATGTAATTTATTTGAAAAAGTATCCTCTGAATACCTGCTGACTCCAGTGTCTGCTGAGCTGAAAAATGCATTTACAAAAAAAAAAAAAAACAAAAAAAAACATCTAAACCATTTTAGTAACTTTTAAAGATGCATTTTAGATCATTATTTCCCAAACTTTTTTTTTTTTTTTTTTCTGGGGACCCATAATTTAAAAGTCACAAACCTTCACGACCCAAGTCAAAGTGGATTTGATCATTATTGAACATTCATGAGGATATTTTATTGTTGACTATGTGATCGTGTCTCTGAACAATTAGTATTACTCAAGTTTTAAACAAACAACACTTACTGAAGCAGCAATAAAAGGATCCATAAGTCGCCTATTTTGACATTAAATGTAGAACATTTCTTTTTCTTTTCAATATTCAATTAGACCAGCAATATTGAAACAAAACAGTCAATAAAATAATTACAAAAAGATTAGAAATGATAGAAAACAGGTCTTAACATTTCAACCTACATGCAGATCATGACAAGGCGACTCCAAAAAAAAAAAAATCTCTTGCGACCGACCTGAGGATCACGACCCAGTCTTTGGGAAACAATGTTTTAGAGCAGGCATGTTCAAACTACGGCCTGTGGGCCAAATGCGGCCCTCAGACAAATTTTTCTTGGCCCTCAGGCTTACAGGGGAATTGGCCCAAATTACCTTGCATCAATAAAAAATTTACTTTTTATTGCAAGTTTTTTTTTTTTTAAATCTACCTTGATAAAGTGAATATTTAATATTTAGTGTGTGATTTTGAGGATCTTAGCATGAATAAAGACTGATGAATCATTCTAACGTGTTAAACATGCACATATTTCAGTTATTCACTGTATTGAGCATCCAGTCTACGGCCCTCGATCAGTCCTCTGCTTCGTCTGTGTTTAGATCTGTGGACCCTTGATGAAAAAAGTTTGGACACCCCTGTCTTAAGCCATCGTTTCAGATTAGTTTTAAATGTTCTGAATGTGGTGGAGTCTCTTATTACAGCTGGGAAGTTGTTCCAAGTTTCTGTTTCCTTGACTGATCACACCTGCTGACTGAAAGTTGTGTGTCTATAAGGTCTCATACAGTGGTCTCTGGTAGAGGCTCTTGTTCCCCGACCACTAGTGCTGGACCCTAACCCTAACTCACCCTGAGGTGTTGAGCAACTCCATTTCAGACCTTGTATACTGAGCAGGCGAGTCTACATTTTTGAAAATTTCCCAAAGTGTTAAAATAACACTTTCTGTGTTAAAAACAACTCTGAAATATTTTACCCTGAAATTTTAACCCTTCAGTTTTTGCTGTGTAGGAATCTAACAATAACGTAAATATTGTGACATAGTATGGTGAAAAGTTTCACAAAATCCTTTGCATAAATCCCTTGTTTTATAGTAGAAAAGTTAATAAACATAGGAAACTACATATCCCATGATTCATTTCAGTGCAGACAACTTGAAGACATATGTTTTTTACTCGAATTCTTAGGGTTATGACGCACCAGAATCTTGTGAAGGTATTTTAAAAGTAAATAAAATATTGCAATAAATACCGTACGTTGAGATACATATCGTGAAAATATTGTATCTAGAGATTTGGATATTGTTACATCCATTTTGTCTACATCTCCAGGTCTCAAATGATCCAAATGATTCTAGTAAAAGTGCAGGAGTTTGAAAACACAGTGGAGCACATTGCATGACATCACAAGGTGGAACAGTGTTTTCCATTTGAGAGGAAAACCTCATCTTAAATCTGCAGGGTTTTTGTGTTAAATGTGTGTGAAAGAAACAAAACACAACTTAGAACAGATCAGAACATGATGTAACACGGGCCCTTTAATGGTTGTCTTACCTTCTGGATAAAGTTGGTGAGTGTTTTGAATTGTTTTGGCCCATCGAAGAGTCCGTGCACGATGAAGACGGGTCTGTAGGCCTCAGAGCTGCGAGACGAGCAGAGGAGCAGCACAAACGGCAGTGAGCGCACCGTGAAGTGAGCCATGTTTGCGAGAGCCGCACTCTGTCTCACCCAATCTGCTGCTCCAAATATATTTAGTACAACTTCCTCAAAACAAGCAACACTGAAACGCCTAGAGAACTCATATAAACCTATTATTACATCTGTCACATTTATACAGTAGTAAGACTTAGAAATAGAAGCATTTCAGTGTAGAATTAAGATCAATCAAAGAGGCACCCTGTGATTTTGTCCCTATAGAAACTGTTGCAAAATATTCCACAGTATGGCATTAAACATATAGGCCCAGTCAAGCAGAAGTAAACAACAAGGCCAAAAATTCAAGTTAATGCATCTGATATAAAAATGTATTGAACAGATACATATGTACTCTAGTTTATGAAACTGTTGACCTTTTTTCTGTACCATTTTTGGTTCTAAAGTTCCACATGTTTTAAACAGACCATGTATGAAACATGGAACAAAAATTATTTCCCAGATTTCAAAGACCTGCAAATCATGTCAATAAATGGATGTATTTCATCATATCTTGTGTTATTCCATCTTTGAACTGTTGATGAAGGTACAGGATTTTTCCAAAAAAAATGTATTTAAAATGATAAAAATTTGCTTGGAAGGACTGACATATTTTATAGAAATAGTTTCCTTTCATTTTGAAGTAATATTAAAGTATTCAGAAGAAAAAAGCGACAAATGATGTAAAATCCTGCACCTTCTACTTGTTTGCACAATTTTCCCTCTGTTACTTTTCCCTCCGTTACCATGACCTTTCTTCATAAAAATTTCATGAGTCAAAAAGTAAGAGGTTTTTCAACCTAATCTTGTACCATATGGTTGAAAACTATATGAAGCAAATATTCAAACCAGTTTGTTAAGGATATGTAAGTGAGAACCAAGAGTTATCACTGTTTGGATTTATTGCCCAAAAAGTGCTGCATATTTCATTCCCTCCGTTACCGACATGTTTTTTTTTTTTTTTGTTTTTTTTTTGTCAACAACTTGAAAGAATATCACAGGTTTAACTTGACCCTGTTGGAGTGTAACTCTTTCCTACATTCTGATACTTTACTTATTTCAATAGTCCCTCTAGTTTCTGAATAAGAGACATTTGAATGTGAAAAATCTGACCCTGTTTCCCTCCGTTACCACTTGACCAGACCCATATCTGTCATTTGTTCAGTTGCAGGTGGCTGAGTTAGTCCAGAGTTTAACATAGTTTCTGTGTAAATCGTAAATCATGTACAATCCTCATAAAAGATGATGTTATTGCAGAGACAGTAGATCCAGGAGACTCTGTCACAACAACGAACAAAACACAAAAAGTAAGAAATGTGAGTTTTGTTTGAGTCTTTTTGTACGGTGGCTGGCAACTGCAAAACTATTTAACATTTCATAACAAACATTAAGAAGTTTGAAAAACAAATTACATTTAAAATACACCTTTACATCTTGAAAACAATTTTACTTTTCATAAAACACATTTGCAAATGTGCGAACAAATTTACAAAACATGACACTTGAACAAGCGCCGAGACAAATTTGCAAAAACACAAATACAAACCCCCGAAACACATTTTTTTCACAGTGGCTGGGAGTGCCTAGTCTAATTCATCAGCCTGACCTCGCAGCTGGAGAAGTCACTCGCTCGATGGTAGGCAGGTACTTTTTTTATTTAACCAATCGCTGCTATTTGGTCGTGACTTATGTAATGCTCCGCTAACTGGTTTATTAAGCTTTTCCCAAATCCTTTAGGAAGAAGGACAACAACATCTTTCCTCTTGAAGCCTGTATCAAGTAGTGGTTTGAATATTGATTAATGAAGTTACATATTGAGTTGAAGCTTAAACACTGAAATCTTATATGTGTTGAACACTGTTGGGCAAGTGACTTTAAAACTGTAATGTGTTATTTATGACTTGTTTCTGTCATTTCAAAGTCATCAGTTACATTACAATATTACTGTATTTAAAATGTAAAACATTACATGACTATTGCAGCACTTTAAGTGACTCTCACCAAAATAACTGCGAAAATGCTGAACTTTTGCACCGTATATGGACTGAACCAGGACTAAGCCAGGTCTAAACCAGAGCTGAACCAGGACTAAACCAGAACTGAACCAGGACTAAAACAGGACTCACTGTTGGGACGGGATTGAAGGTGACGCAGGAGAAAGGAGCGGCTCTGCTCTGCACCTCACGGAGGTAAGAGCGGCTGTCACCCGATTTTTACAGACACTCTGCTGCTCGGTCCTGATTTCAGCAACTATTTGCAGGGACCCGACCTGGTGCAAGACTCTGCTACAGCGCGTAACTTCTACCTTCTTCAGCGTGTCCAGAAGGTGGTTAGATCTTCCTCTGCCTTTTAAGTGCGACCGCAGGAGTCTTTGTCGGTGCAGAATGTTTCGTCGACATTGTGGGTTTTGTCGAGGAGAAAACTTACAAACATACAACACTTCAGAATCACACTGATACAGATCCAACATTTATTTAAATTTGGCAGCTGAACACATTCTGTACTGTACAGGAGCAGGAGTCCCTTAGCCAATCAGGACGCAGCGGGAGGAACACAATACATGTTCATACACTGTAAAAACAAAAGGCATGCAAAACTGCACTAAAAAAATCCACAAAAATGCGAAAAGCGAACCGAGATAAAGCGAGGGACGACTGTAAACCAGATCTAAACCAGAAGTGACCCAGGTCTAAACCAGGTCTAAACAGTGTGGAGTTCTGTGTCGGTCCTTTCGCCCGCGGTTACCTGACGGTCTACACAGGCGCGTCTCTGGCGTTTCACCGCGGCTGATATTGCCGTGATTTTAGCAAATTTGTATGAAGAAAAACCCACCTCTTCCATCCAGGTTAAAAAAGGATTGTAACATGTGTTACTCACATTTGTACCGAGTAAAATATTAAAAAAAAATTCCCCTGTAATGCCACATTACTGTGTTACAGCAAAAAGCAACACATTACAGTAATTCCTTACTTTTATAACACGTTACTCCCAACACTGATGTTGAAAGGTATTATTGTGTGTCCTACATAATGGGTAACCTATGTGCTTTTAAGGAAATTCCTTTGCAGAACTGGGACTGTGGAGATCACCTGGGCTGGCGCATCTAAACAGACTTGGTGGTGATTTACAATGGTTTGGTGGGGGTTGTCACTTCCTCCAAAGAAAGAAAGAAAGAAAGAAAAATGCTTCAAGGACGATTCAAGGCGTTACCTGTTCAACATATCATTTACAGATTCATACTGTTGTTTATATGTCTGGGTTGAGGGAAACTCAGGCGTTCAGATCACCTGATGTAAGTCCTGTGTAGATGTAGACCATCAGGGACAGTGATTTGACCCAGAGCTCTGTATTAGAATTGTATTGAATAGGGAATCAATTCTTTTCACTTTTAATCAATCGATTCCAGTTGTGATTTTTGGAGAACATGCCTAACACCCTTGATAAAATTCACATTACATTCATTAACATTCTCTTTGTTTCGGCTTTAAATCCTCTAACTGAGGAATCGTTGCCAACACAGAATGTCTTCACTGATTGGCTGGTGCCCGACCTCACACTTCCGAGGTTCTTGTAAACTGTCTAGTGTATTCCAATTTCTGACCTAGTTGCTGGAGAGAAATGAAACTGAGCCGAGGCACTAGGTCGTGCCAGCCTGGCTAGGAATGTCACTTCTGGTTTATACTTTTCTGTGGCAAAATATCTGTGGAAATGTCTCGCTTATTCTCCAGCAGCTTCATAAATCTGCACCATCACCAAATCTTCAACCAACAAGCTCCACAAAGGATAAACATTCTTCATGAACAATTTATCCACAACTATCAAGAGAAGAAAGATGAAAACGTAAAAGCGAACACTGACGACACGTTAGAGAACTTCTCCAGAGCAAAACTAATGTTGCGGTCGTTTATCATTTCCACTTTTTAGGACGTTCCCTTTCCGTCAAGAACTTGTTTCGAGGGTTTGTATTTGAGTTTTTGTAAATCTGTCTTGGCGCTTGTACATGTTTTGTGTTTTGTGAATTTGTTTGGTCATTTTCAAATGTGTTTTATGAAAAGTAAATTAGTTTTTATTTTAACTGTAATTTAGTTTTCAAACTTGTTAATGTGTGTTGTGAAATGTAAAAGTGTTTTGCACTTGCCAGCCACCGTATTTTTGAGAGCGCTGGTGCTACAGTTAAGAGGAAGTGACTTGAAATGTAACAAAATGATCTGTGGTTAATGTTCGTATAAGCTGCTGAATATTGTCTGAGAATATAAAGCGCTGAAGTCTTGCACGTGTGTTGCTTGACCTTTTACAACATTAAATTATTGCACACATTGTACGCATTTGGCATGAACAAGCATTATTTGTTTATGAAAAATGTCAAAATGTACATGAAAAAGTGAGTTTTATGGTCATTGTATTGTGAAGTAAAGGTGCTGTAAGAGATTTTTGATCAATTTCATGTAAAAAATACTCAGTAAACACATTTTTAATGACATTTTAAAAGTATTGTTAAAAAGGTATTTTTTTGACTTCAACAGATTGTTCAGTCCATAGAAGCGCCACCAAAGCAAAATCCTGATCCCTCGCTCAAGCTCGGTTTTGAATTTAAAAAGTCAATGCCAAAGTGAAAGGCACCAACGGTTCACCAAGAAACACCTTCCACTGCAAAGAGACCAAGACGTGATGTTGCTGTAAAACCACAAGAACAAGAAAGTGCAGCTCAGTCTGTTTGTCTTCTGCTCCTCTCACTTAACAAACAAGATTTTGTTTTGTTGGTGCTCCACATAGAAAATGTTCGCTGCAAACTCAGGATGATTTAGGCAGTGAAAATGTTCCTTTTTCATCCTTCCTGTGGATCAATCCAATCAATCCATCTCCTTTGCCTTTCACTATTTTTCAATTCCGTTGGGAAGGAAAACAGTTTGAACAGAGGATTGCAGTCACGCACATCTGATTCCTTTTTACATTTATGGAGTTTGCAAACTTCCAAAGCCCGTTTTCCGCTGTTAGGATCCAACAACCACACAATT